ATGCAAGCATGCAATGTGCTAATCATGCATGAGGCAATAAAATGCAATTTAACATGTGATGCAAACATGGTACAATGCAAGCATGCAACGAGAGGCAACAAGTCAAACATCCAACTATGTACAAGAATAGACTTGGACTGAAATGGGAGGCCTCAGCCACACCCTAAAACAGTGACCAAAAGGGTCAAAGATGGCACAACTTATGCATGCAAGCATGCACACACCAAGGCCTATCATCTAAGCATGGAAGAAGACAACTCTAAGCATACTTAAAGGCAATATGCTTGGACATCAAACACTCATGTTAAACTCTGAAAAGCATGCAAAAGATGACACCAAGACATGTTAGGGAATAGATGCAAAATAGAAGGTATTCAAGGCCACAAAAGAGAGCATTGCTCAACACCTACCCCAAGCAAACATGGCATGAACTAAGAAACCCAAAACAGAGTTTTTATGCATCAAAATATGCCCCAAAACCCACTGATATGGCAACCCCAAAAACTTAAATACATAAGCATGCACAATGCTCATTTCAAGGCACAAAAGGGCACCTCTTTAAGGCATGAAAAGGGTGATGGATACATGCATAGGAACATGGATTAGGGACTGAAATGGCATGTGAAATGACTCCAAATCATTGAAACAACCCAACTAAAACATGCTCATAACTCACGCCCTCAAGGCTCACAAGCCAAAATACCAAGGGGCTATACCAAACATGGTAAATATGATCAAATAAACTCCCAACAGACCTTAAGCATGGTAAGACATGGCTAAGAACTTCACAAAGTTAGGCCAAAACATGAGAGCATGGTAGGTTAAATGCATGATGCACTTCTAGGCCAAAGAGAGGAATGCAAAGCAAGTATATTAAACATGAAAGGGGCCATTAATCCGACCAAAAACTAAGGCATAATATGACCCAACAACACCCAAAAAAACTCTGAAATGAAGCCAAGAACAACTAATCATGCATGCTATCCTTATGAGACAAAAATGCAAAAGAAAGAGAGACAAAGGGAGAGGGGTGTCCCTCCCCTATGCAAAACCTCAAAACCCCTTCTTCACTACTGAAAATCCACTGGATTTCAGCGATGAGAAGGCCAATACACAAAAGTCCCCAAAGCTTAGCAAAAAGAGTACAAAAAGGGTCAAACAAGGCCTAAGAGGGAGAGATCGACCCCAAACAACAAAATGACCTTAATGAAGTATCTTAAACAGGCAAATACAAGACTTTTTTCAGTTATACACGAAGCTCAAATCAATATGAAAAGCAGGTCAAAAGCTAGTGCAAGATTGGAGAATCTAAAGCAAAAGTGTTACCCTTGAAGAACACCTCAAGAACAGCAAGTCCAGCCACCTTCTTCTGATCAAAACCAGCTCAAAACCTCAAGAATAAACCCTCAACACCTCCCAAAGTTGAAGTATGGTGTAATGGTGTGTGTTTTAGTGCAAAAGTAAGAACAAATCACCCTTTTAGGCCCTCAAACACACACAAATAAAGAGAGAGATGGAGATATAGAGAGAGAAGATGTATATCAGATATATATATGTATTTTGCTCTGGTTTTTGCTAAACCCATCAAAGGAGAAGAGGGGTCTCTTATATAGACAATGCAAAGACTAAGCTTCCAAGGGAAGCTATTCAAAAAGGGTCAAGGCTTCCAAGGGAAGCTAAGCTAAGGGTGCAAGCTTGTTGAGGAAGCTATAACAAAGGGTCAAGCTTCCTCAAGAAGCTTGAGCAAAGGGTGCAATCTTCTCTAGAAAGCTTGGACCAAAAAGGTGCAAAGGTTTAAAACAGCCACACCCGTGCATGGGGGGCAGGGTCTGTGCATTCCAACTGGCACGCATTATGCCTAAAAAAGGCAAAAATGTGGTATCGGCCAGAAAAGGAGTCCATCGGCCAAATAGATGGTCGGCTAACCACACCAAATGCCGACCGGCCAATGGTATATCTCACTAATGGCCGATATCCTCAAAACACGGCCGGTGGCCTCAAGACATGGCCGGTGGGTATCCAAGGTAACTAGCAAGCTACTCTCTACCCTTAGATGCAAAAACAAACAAGTCCTTGGTGTAAAACCAAGCACAAAACAAGCAAGTCGAGAGATCCTGAGGCAAGGCGCGTAACCAAGACCTCCGGAAACTCAAAAACAAACACGAACATGGATGATCACCGAGTGTTCAAGCGGTGACGTCCAAGTTTTGAGGACGGTCAAAAATGGGGTGTCTATAGTATTGCTTTAAGAACAGATCCCCAGCATGCTTCTAAGGCATTTGTTTCTAAAATTAATTTATCACTTGTTTTAGGAAGATAAACATCTGGTAAAGCTTTAATATTTTCTTTAATTTGTTAAATTAAAGCAACATCCTCTGCTATTCATTCAAAAATAACATTTTTCCTTAATTTGGTTAACCAATGAATTTCTATTTTTGAAATATTTTTGATAAAATTTCATCCATAATTTAGAATACCTAATAAACTCTGTAATTGTGTTATATTTTCAAGAGTATCAGGAAAATCTCGTACTTCAGACAAAATATGTTCTTGTAATTTTAAATCTTTTTAGTCTGAAATTATTCCCAAAAATTCAATTGACTCTTTTTCTAGTTCAATCTTTTTTTGTGATAACATAATTCCATGTTTTTGAATTTTTCACAAAGTAATTTAAAATGTTTTTTATGCTTCTCCCGAGTTTTAGAGAAGATAAGTATATCATTAATATAAACTACACAACAATCTTTAAGATCTTTAAAAATTGTATCCATCCACCGTTGAAATACCTATGGTGCTATATTTAACCCAAAAGACATAACATTGTAGTGGTAATGTCCTCTAGGTGTACTAAAAGCTGTCAATTTTTTTGATTTTTTAGTCAATTGAATTTGTCAAAATCCATTCTTACAATCAAATTTGCTAAAGATTTTTGATCCTTTGGTTAGGTTAATCAAAACATCTTTTCTTAGAATAAAATATTCATCAAATTCTAAATTTTCATTTAGTTTATAATTGACTGCCATTCAGGCTTTTCCTCTTTTGATTTCAACATGGTTTCTTACCATAAAAGTTGGACTAGAGTGAGGGCTTATAGTTTCTTTAATTAACTTGTTGTCTAAAAGTTCTTGAAGTTGAATATCAAATTCATCTATATCTTGTCTAGTATAGATCATTAGTCTTACTCTAATGATAACATTAGGGTCTTTTAATTTCAAACTACAATAACGCAGACTACGTTGACATAGTTTTAATGAATTTTCACTAAAATTTTCTTTTAGAATTTATAAATCCAATGTGATTTATCAATAGTTTTGATAAAAGAAAGTTATAAACTTAGTAAGTTGAATGGTAGGAGTGGGTTACAGTGGCAATGGGTTGTGACAGGTGGTGGCTTAGTGGTAGTGAATAATGGAATGTGGTAGGTCACGGTGGTTGTGAATAGTGTAAGGTGGTTGTGTTATTGGTTGTGTTTGAGTTGTTGAGAAGAAAGGTAAGGAAGTGAGGGTAGCATGTTAAATTCATATTCTTAAGTAAGGGTGATAAGGTCATTTTAGTTTTCTGTTGAAAGTGTTAGTAGCCTAACTCTGACAAGGAGGTCAGTGTAATTTCTAAAACCTCAAAGGGAAAGTTGTATTATAGATGAACCTCAAGAGGTGTGAGTGTAATTTACCCTAATTTATTTAAGTTGAGACCTTTTACATGATCCGTGAATGAGGAGTTACTGAGAGGTTATAGGTATGAGTAAGTGCTTGGGAGGAATTCCGTACTTTTATCAAATCCTCCATATCTCTTGATCGAACTCGTGTAAGTAGATGTTGCCTGGTAAGGCCAACAGTAGTACACTGTGTGGAATAGAATAAGGGCCCCTCTTATCTCTTACGAGTTGTCCCGGAAAAGACTTTTTTGAATAGAGTTATAGAGAATCCTACATTGACTAGGAAAGTATATGAAGAGTTGCATATATGTATTTATGTTATTGGGTTTGGGTATAATTTGCAGGAATTGGATCCAATCCACAAGCGCAAGAAAGGAAAAAGTAGAGGGGTTATGCGAATTTGGTTAGGGTAATCACCATCTGATTCCTATTGCAAAGACATATCTGCACCTTGCTTACACGTGTATTATTCCTCTATCCATTTTGTGTAATAATAGGCCATTACATGCCATAAAAGGGTGTTTTTTTCCTGTGGAGCTTTGGGCTCATCATCATGTGTAGAGATGGCCTGAACCATACGATGAGTGATCTTGTCTACACATGTATTATTCCTTCATCCATTTTATGTAATAATATGCCATTACAAGCTATGGAAGGGTGTTTTTTTCCTCGATGAAAGTTTTGTGTTCATCATCTTGTGTAGAGGTGACCTAAATCATACGACAAGTGATTAGACTATTATATTCTGGAGGGAGCAAGTCAGAGTTTGGTAACTACTGTACCGATGTATTGTAAAATGACCCTAATTTGTAACTATTACAAAAATTTGTTACCAAACCACAATTTCTACCCCAAAAAAAGAAAAAAAGAGTAAACTACAAACACACTCTTTGAAATTTGTTAAAAAACATGAATTGTCCTCTATGGTTCTGAGAAGTATATCATGTTCCGTTAAATTTCTAATTGTATAACAAATGACCCCTTAATAATGTCATAAATATATTTCAATTAATAATTTTGATAATTTTATTCTTGTGTATAACAATACTTAGGAATTCTTTTTTTTTTCTTTTTCTTTTTTTTTGTTAATTTTGTTAAATAAAAAATTTATGATGATGATGTATTTATAATTTTTAAAATTATATGGACCAATTCATATTTACCCAAAAAATAGTTGGGCTCTAATAACGGTCCGTGGGCTTTGCCCCACATTTCCCAATTAACGGTCCGTGATCGATCGAACACTCCGTGCTGGACCTTCCTCTTTTAGAACCCGAATCCAACTACTCGACCCATGGCCCCCAAGTCAAACCATCTATCTAGGGCTTCTCTATAGTTACAAATTCTAGGGTTTTGCTTTCTCTCTCCTCTTGTGCCTCTCTCACTCTCTCTCTCTCTCTCTCTCTCTGCATTTTGGCGACTGCGTGCGTATTGCTCTGTGGCCGATTCGCATAGCAGCCATGGCGGACAAGGCAGTGACTATCCGTACTAGGAAGTTCATGACCAACAGGCTTCTCTCTAGGAAGCAATTCGTACGTACTCTCTCTCTCTTCATCAATAATTATATATATACACTGGAAGGAAATGTATGTATTAAATCTGTACTTCTATTTTGATGAAAAACTTGAGGATCTTGAACCCTTACTTATACAGTTTGAATATTTTTTTCACTATCCTCAGATAATTGATGTTCTTCATCCTGGAAGACCCAATGTTTCCAAGGTAGATCCTGATTTTTTTTAGTATAAGTTAGTATATATTTTTGTTGGTTTTGGATTTGAATTGTTGATCTGGGTGTTTACTATCTACTGTTATGCAGGCGGAGCTGAAGGAGAAGCTGTCGAGAATGTATGAGGTGAAGGACCCAAATGCAATTTTTGTTTTCAAGTTCCGTACCCATTTTGGAGGTGGAAAGTCAACGGGGTTTGGTTTGATTTATGATTCTGTTGAGAACGCCAAGAAGTATGAGCCCAAATACAGGCTTATCAGGGTAAATTTATTATCGATCTCTTTATTCTATACGTTTACATATGCCATTGTTTTTCTTTGTTTATGGTGTTATCATGTGGGGGTGAATTTTCTTGCTAATTGAATTAATTAGAAATGCTGATTGCTTGGATTCATTTTGTTAGAAAACTTATTGTTACATCTTAATCCTCCTAATTTTTTTACTTGCTTCATCTATGTTTTGTTTTGGCTCAAGTATTTTTTATTGCTTTGGATGTTAGACATTAACAGCCGATTGGATCGAGTGATTTGGTAAGAAATGAAGAGAAAGAGAAGCCTTTTCGCATGTTTGGTTTATACGTTAGGGAAGAAATGATGAGAAAGAGAATTTTCTTGTTTTATAGGTTTCGTTTCTTACCAAAAATCGTGAGCTTTGGTGAGCACACGCTAATTGGTTGTGTATTTTTTATAATATTGAGATTGCCTATTAAAATACAAAGAAAGAAAAGAAATCGCACCCATATCCCTATGTCACGAACTTTGCTTTCTTACTCATCCAAACATAATAATGAGAAAACACAATCATTTCTTTTCTTTTCTCACCACTTGATGCAAATGGAGCCTAACATTTCGAGGAAAAATGATCCTTGTGAAACATAGGTTTAAAGTGTTTTCTTTTTATGGAGGCGAGTGTGGTACTTGTTAAGGCTATATGATCACTTTCAGTCTTATATTATTAGAAGTTTAAATTCTTCATTTCTATGATACATTTCTATTGAATATCTTCTAAAAAGTTTCAGGTTACGCCTTTTATAAGGGCTATCAATCTGCCCCTTCTTTGGGCCTCATGGTGCTATTACTTGTGCATTTTGTGTAATGATTGAATTCTCATTGAATAACTTTAGGAATGAATAAGAGCTTTCCGGTGAAATAAGGAACACAACACATAAAACATTGGGCAAGTGTACTAAAATTTACCTGGTTTATTTTGAGCCAATCATAGTGGATTAGTGTTTTCTAGGGAAATTTTGGATCAGAAAGTTGTTGACTTTTGGTAGACGAACTGAGATCCTTTATCTACTGGTTTGTTTTGAGCTACTCAACACTAATGTACATTTAGTTGGCATTAATTCCTATCAATGTAATCAGTTTAGAGCTCGCTGGTTTTAAAAAATATAATGGAATATTACATCCCAAATATCTAATCCATTTGCCGAAGTGATTAGTTTGTATGCTGTGGCTTTTGGAATATTATAAAATTTGACATCTTGATTATTAAACCCCTTTGTTATTGAAATTGGTATTTCAGACCGTGTTGAAACAACTTGAAGTGAAGTTTTAATTGAGCCTAATTGTTGGGCTATGCAAATTCTGCCCGCCTTCAACCTCTTCATTATAAGTGTTCAAATTGTGGTTGGTGGTTAAGTTGGAGGAGGCAAAACTGACCTGATTTTGTTTGTATTTGATGGGCTCACTCAAGTAAGAGCTTTGCTTGATCATTTTGCATGGCTATGTTTGTTTGACAGATTAGATTGGGTGGGATTATGAGTATCGTGGGATTGAGTGATAAGATTATTAGTGTAGTGGTATTAGGTTAGAGATGTAAAATACAGCGCATTTGTTTGCGCACGAGTGTGATGATACAAGTTAGTTGGGATTAAATCTACAAAATTACGTAAAAGACCTTATCAAATAGAAGGTAACTTTGTTTTTTTTGTAAAATGGGGCAAAATTGTCTTTTAACTACCAATCCATAGGATTGGATTAGCAATGCCATCACATGTCTTATTTTTTAATGTCCTTCACCTCTTCCTTGCTTGGCATGCAAGAGTCAAAATAACTTGTTTAACATGTACTAGGAGCCCCTTGCCTGTTATACCAAATAGGTGCCTACATCATTACGTATTGCTAAATTTTGACTAAAAAGTGAGGCAGCAAGGGAACAGGTTTTTGAAATTAGTTGGATATCAACTTTTTTTGTTAATGACAAGCTTGAATAAGAATAACTTGGAGAAACGATGCTTGGGTTGCTAGCTGCTTGCTCCATTCATTTGTTCCTCATTGGCAATGTTTTCCTTAGAAGACTTTCATGCTCTGCTATGGTATTCATTTAGTAAAGATATTATAAATTTCTCAAGACATTCTCTCGAAGTTGCACGACTTCCTATCTCCCATTGATCATGTAGTTGCCATTTTCCCAGGATCATAAAATAAATATTTTGATCACCTAGGTGGGAAAATTATTCGAGTTGTTAGCCAATTGTGTGAGATGACTTCATTGACATGATTTGCTATATTCCTAAAAGTGGCAAATGCTTTTTTACATTGACCAACTTGGCTCAAGAGTATTGGTGGTTCCAAAAAAAAAAAAAAACTTGGCTCAAGAGTAGGGCCTTTTTTTCTTTCTTTTTTAACTTGAGGTAATTTATCGTTTGTTCTTTTTATGGTTTACTCTCTCTCTCTCTCTCTCTGTGGCAGAAAACTCCATTGATATTGACTGTGTTTTCATGTTGATGTATCTTTCACTTTTATGTATCCATATTGCACAACACATGTTTAATATGAGACATGCAATGGCAGAATGGACTTGATACCAAGGTTGAGAAGTCAAGGAAGCAGCTCAAGGAGAGGAAGAACCGAACAAAGAAAATCCGTGGAGTGAAGAAGGTACTAGTATATTTTCTACAGTAACTGGTGGTTTTATTTTTTTTATTTTTAACAACCCCCACTTCTTACTTCGCTACAATTTGTGTTCCATGCAGACAAAGGCTGGTGATGCTGCCAAGGCTGGAAAGAAGAAATGAGTTTTCTGGTGTTATGAGATAATCATATGTAGGGATTTGGGATTTTTTAATAGTCGGGGGAGTATTCTCTTTGTAGTTTGTAGCTCCCTATTTCAGACCCATGTTATCTGCTTTTGAGTTATTTAATGAGATCCTTAAATTTTGTTACGAAGGATATTCTTGAAATGTTTAGGGAATAGTATCAGGTTCTGTGATTGTAGCGGAAACTTTTTGAGCAATATTTTTAGAAGCTTGTGTGCCTGCTTTTTGAGTAGAAATGATGCCTTTTGGATCACATTTGACATTGGGACCAATTGTTAGTGATGCTAGATAGCCCGAAAATGTGGCAGCCTGTATCAACCCAAATGATGTGACTTTGGTGATGTGGCAATGTGTGAAAATAAATTTGTTTTTAATGATATTATATCTAGTTGTTTTTTTTTTTTGAGAACAATATCTAGTTGTTGATAATATATGATCTGTTGAGTTATTTTTTTTATTTTTCTTTCTAGTAAATTATATATTTTCAATAATACTAGAATTTAATATATTTTGTAAAAATTTCTTCCTTGTTGATGGTTGTTATTAATATTATTACTTGATTACGATCTAATAATATATCCTGAATATAGAAATGGTGAAAAATATTCATAAAAAAAAAATTATTTATTATTTTTACTTTTTATATTGTTAAGATGTTTTGATTCTAAGATGTTTTGATTCTAGACTTACTATGCTTTCAAGATAAGAGCAGATTTTGACCGTTATTTGAAAGTAGTCAGCGTAGGTAGGGTTCTAGTGTTGACAAGTTTTTAGCTTATAGAGGTGACTAATCTCAAACTTTCTCTTTTTAGATTAGGTTCAGCATGGTTCTATTTCGTTTCCTACTTTCATACCGTAACTTTAGAAATTGCTTCTTTGGTTATTTTGGAGACTAAAAGTAACACACTTTCTTGAAAAGAAAAGTTTTTATTTATAGAATAGAAAATTTACAAGGAAAAATGGCGCTTGTAAACTGTTAGATTGTTGAAGTATTGTTTGTTCTATTTTGAATTTTTTTTTTTTTTTTTTTTTTTTTTTTTCTCCTAGTAAATTATATATTTTCAATAATACTAGAATTTAATATATTTTGTAAAAATTTCTTCCTTGTTGATAGTTGCTATTAATATTATTACTTGATTAAGATCTAATAATATATCCTGAATATAGAAATGGTGAAAAATATTCATAAAAAAAAATTATTTATTATTATTACTTTTTATATTATTAAGATGTTTTGATTCTAGACTTACTATGCTTTCAAGATAAGAGCAGATTTTGACCGTTATTTGAAAGTAGTCAGCGTAGGTAGGGTTCTAGTGTTGACAAGTTTTTAGCTTATAGAGGTGACTAATCTCAAACTTTCTCTTTTTAGATTAGGTTCAGCATGGTTCTATTTCGTTTCCTACTTTCATACCGTAACTTTAGAAATTGCTTCTTTGGTTATTTTGGAGGCTAAAAGTAACACACTTTCTTGAAAAGAAAAGTTTTTATTTATAGAATAGAAAATTTACAAGGAAAAATGGCGCCTTGTAAACTATTAGATTGTTGAAGTATTGTTTGTTCTAAGACGGCTTGAGAATCCAAACTTCTTTCTTAATATCAAGTATATTTTAAGTAATCTGTAACCTCTCTTGCTTTCTCTTAAAAGTCTTTATATAGGCACTTTGTAGACTTCAAACTAATCTATAAATATAAAATATTTTACATATTATAATTTATTATTGTTAGAAGACAAACAAAAAACAAGCAAGCAAGTGGTGTAGTCACATGGTGATCACATAATATTTATGAACAAGAGACACTTGTGGTATAGTCATATGGAGGTGTAGTCTTCAACCTATGATTTTACCAAACTATCCATAGTTTTGTCAATCTATTACATTTTTTAGATTCCATACCCCCTCATCACCTACGACATTACTAAGATCATAATTTTCATCATATCCTTCGAACATGGCATCCCATCTTTCCAGATCTTGCTCCATCAGATATTTTTTCAAAAATTTACATCATCTAAATATGTTCCAGAATCTACCTGTTCCAAGCAATCGTATACTAATTCATAAGGCAATCCTAGAACAATTTTTTTTTTTATTAAGGATGGTGTTATTGCAAAGGTGATCCTTCTATAATAAACTAATTCAAACCCAACGCTTGCTAATTTAGTAGTTTCGTGAGATATTATTTAAAAAAAAAAAAAAAAACCCTCTTGCCCTTGCTTTTGTTGGATCTATTATAGAAGGTGCTTCCCAATCTTTGAACCAATCACATTTATAGGAGATCACGCCATTCTTAGTTTTTATTTTTATCAGATAATGAACTACATTTAAAACGTCCATCATTTACCTCTGTTTGTGCAATTGTAAATGTAATGGGTGCTATGGTTGGATATTTTTTATAGACTTCATAAATTCTCTTGAACATAAATTGTTGGAATCTGGTGAGCTAAGAGAACATGGTACTCTATGGGTGGGGTGGAATGTCGAATGTGTTACTTATTCTCAATTTCCATTTGAACTGGAGGATCTTTTAGGTTAATGACCTTGTTTGGATCGAATGAAACCTTTAACATTCTATAATTGTACTAGGTTGTCTGTCCATTAAAGTAGCACCATTGAGTTCCTAGATGGATGACACTTTCTTCGTACCATTTTAGAAATAACTTAACGAAAATACATTCTCTTATATATTTTGGATATCATAAGAGAGCTTAAGAAACAAATATTATACTTTTAATCATAAAAAAGTTTTGACAACTAAATGGGTGGTCCTAATGAGCTCGTTTTCTTTCCTGCTGCGTGTACTTTTTTTGATAATTTCAGCGTTGTCTTGTGTTATCAAGTCCAGCACTTCTTGAGTCTTTGCCAGGAGTGTTTCCTTCTCTAACGGTGTAAGTCTTGTAGATGTAGAAACCATCTGCAAGTTCTCAAGTTAAAGGGTCTGCTAAACTATTTTTTATTACCATTAATATGTTATATATCAAAAGTAAATTATTTTAACCAAAGTTGCTATGCGTTAGTTAAATTCTTATTTACGAAGCCTAATAGGCCTTTGCAATAAGTTTTTATTAAAAATGATTTTGGCGCCAAAAATATTAAAAACTTTTCTATTCCTTTTATTATGGCTAATAATCCTCTTTTCATGGAGCAATAATTGCATTTAGTTTGATTAAAACTTTCACTACAATGCCTACATAGTTGATTATTTTGTTCTATTTTCAACACTGGGCTTCAGTGAGTGTTACTTGAATCGGTTTCTAGTACTAGCTCATCATCTTCATTAGGAAGTGTTAGGGTAGACAAATCTTTACACTTTTCTTTTAAAATTTTTACTAATGTGGAGTTGGCTGAGTATTTAGTCCAACTCTCATGTTTTTAATTTCTTTTGAAATGGTTTTCCTATTTTAGCTAAGTCTTTCATAAAATCTAAGGCATAAGTCAAATATCTTAAAAATCTCTCTAATTGTTTTCTATCCGTGATTTTATTAGGAAATTTATTAATTTTTTCAAGAATATGATTCTGCATTTTTATTGATTCTACCTTGATTTCAAGTCCTAAAAATTCTATTTCCTTTTATGCATATACACATTTATTTTCACCCAAAACTATTCCATGTTCCTCACATTTTTCTATTATTATTTTGATATCCATTTTATATTGTTCTATAAATCTAGAGAATATTAAAATAGCATCTATATATACAAGACAACAATTATTTAGTTCTTTAAAGATGTTATCCATTCTTCTTTAAAATATTTGAGGTGCATTTTTTAATGCAAATGACATTACAAGTCATTCATAATACCCTTGTGCTGCACTAAAAGCTGTTATTGGTATATTTTCTTTATTCATTTTGATTTGTCAATATCCACTTTCATAGTTTGTCTTGGAGAATCAGGAGGCACCCTGTAATATGTTGAAAAGGACTTGCTTATTTGGAATAAAATAACCATCTTTTTTAGTGTTATTATTTAATTTTTTTGTAATTTATTACCATTCTAGTTTTTCCTTTTTAATCTTAGCATGATTTCTAACCATAAAGGTTGGACAGGATTATTACTGTCTCTAACTAGACCTTTTCTTTTGAAATCCTCTATCTCTTTTTTGAAATTTTCTATATCATTATAATTATATACCATTTGTTTTACTCTAATTATTTTATTAGGGTCGATTAGGTCTAATTTAACTATACTTTTATTTTTGTGCTAAAATTTTAAGGGGTCATCGCTACATAAATTTTTATATCTTTCGTGTTGCTCTTTTTGAATTTCTTCTTGAATACTAGTTTCTTTAAAGCTTAATGCAATTTCTTGCCTAGTTAGAGAGACTACCTCCTCACCACTACGGATGTAAGCAAAACTGACCAAACTGATTGAACCGAACAAAAATAGCCGTATGTGGTCTATTGTTTAATAAGAATCAGTTTGTGTGGTTTTTAATTTGATTTTTTCTGGTTTTCGATTCAATGTTTGTTTAAGCACCTTATGTACCGAATTAAACCAAAACCGACCACTTCAATATATATTGTATTTATAATAGATATAAAATTTAATAATATAATGATGTTAATAAGTATAACAAATTATTAATCTCAATTAATTAACATTATCATCTCTATAACCTAAGTTAGGGTACTCTTAGTATATATAATCTTTAACTCTAACTCACTATTCTTGGAGCCTTAGTATTTATTATTATTTTTTTGTTTGTATTTTCGTTAATCTAAAAATTGTAAAGTATTTATTAAATTGATGGATTTGATATGTTTGAAATGGTTGACAAATGACTAATTCAATGTTTCTATATAAATGAGTGACTATACTAAAAAACATTTTTATATAAATGAGTGACTAGACTAAAAAATGGTTTAAATTTAACAAATCCTAAACCAATTAAACTGCACCAAATTGAACCGCTTCCATTGGTGCAGTATAGTGCAATTTGATGGAAGAAGTGGTCTGCGTCGATACTCAAAATAATAAAATCGACATTATAGGTTCGGTCGAAAAATTTACCTAAATATCGACCGTACTGAAACAATTACATCCCTACTCACCATGGTTGCTGCTGACAAAGTCAATGTTGTGATGTGTAACAATTGTTTTTAGTTTTAAGACTTCAATTGGTTTATTGTTATTTGTAAATATAACAAAGTATAATATTTGAGTACAAGGATTGTATAATCTTTAAAAGTTATTTCCTATGATTACATCATATGATGGTTGATCAGTTGCGCAAAATTTAGAAATAATAAAAGGGCTGGAATTAATTTTTATAATTAAATTTTCTATGGTGTCATTATGTATCATCATACTATTATTAGCTATTCAAATTGTACAAGGACAAAATAATCTTCTCGTATAATCCTGTTGATCAAGTTTGCGCTCCTCCAATTGTCATCGCTTTATTACTTGAAAACACAAACGTGAGCTAGCCGGCGGGGGTGTGCCGAAAACCTCTCCGATGCCTAAGTCAGCAAAATAGACAATAGACACAAAAGCTCTGTGTATTTGAGAGTAAAAATTGCCATACCTGTGCATAGGTCTTGTCATGAGTTCTTATAGATTCCGCTTGGTACAATCCTAGTAGGACTCCAGCTCTTCTTAGCAGAGTCCTCCTTGGAATCACACTCCCAAGGATAATACATATCCTGATAACACCTTACTCACTACCAACCAAGTGAGATGGTTGGTACAATCTCAGTAAGACTTTAACTCTCCTTAGCAGAATCCTCATAGGAGTCTCATGCCCAGGGATAATGCTTATCCTTAGAACACCCTCATCACTATAAGCCAAGTGAGATGGCCACACCTTTATGCTCAGACATACATTCCTGACCAAGCTACCTTACCTCGGTCCCCTGCTGCTCGGGTCGTGTGACTGGAAGCCGATCTATTGAATGGCACCTTGCCGAGCTACCATAGCTAAGCCCTCTTTATTGACAACATCACGATCCGATAAAGGACTACCTTCAGATAGTTAAGTCTAAGCCCTAGCAACCCATCTTTGACCGGCCTAGTGTCTTCTTAGCCCAAGATCGAGCTACACCAGCTCTTATCTCGGCTCATTGCGCGGCCCAACTTCCAAAGAAGACTTTTCCTAGCTTGGCCCAACTTCCATAGAAGACTTTTCCTAGCTTGGCCCAATTTTTTTACAAATTACCCTCTCAATTGCCCTTAATCCCATATGTGTAGCATGATTAGGATTATTTTCCTCCAGCCGAGCTAAGAATGCCCAACTCTGCCGAGTTAGAAAAGTTGTTCGGTTTCACAACTCATTTGGTCCCAACAAGTTTTGTCAGTTGCTCAATACGTCCTTCCACTACTCTGGCATATCTGATACGACGTCATTCCTAGGATACGTAACGTGCCCCTATTAGCCCCATTCTCTTGTTACAGTTGTCATGTACATCTCAAAAATTTGAACAGCCTCGCCTTTTTGCCTTCAATACATATAACCTTCGAGTTCGCAATCGTACGACGAGTCGTTCTTTCTGTGTCTCACCGAGCAGACTAACTCGGTTTACACTAACCCTGCCAACCTGCTTTGGCCGAGATAACTATAATCTGTATCAAAGAGTTCAAAAATTTGTTGGTCAAACCTGCCAACCTGCTTTAGTCGAGATAACTATCATCCTGACCAAAGAGTGCAAAAATTTTATTGGTCAAACCTACCAACCTACTTTGGCCGAGGTAACTATCATCCCGGTCAAAGAGTGTAAAAATTTTGTTGGTCAAACTTGTCAACCTGCTTTGGTCGAGGTAACTATCATCCCGGTCAAAGAGTGCAAAAAATTTGTTGGTTAAACCTGCGAACCTGCTTTGACTGAGGTAACTGTTATCCCGATCAAAGAGTGCGAAAATTTTGTTGGTCAAATCTGCCAATCTACTTTGACCAAGGTAACTATCATCCCGGTCAAAGAGTGCAAAAATTTTGTTGGTCAAACTTGCCAACCTACTTTGGCCGAGGTAACTGTCATCCCGGCCAAAAAATTTGTTGGTCAAACCTGCCAACCTGCTTTGGCCAAGATAACTGTTATCTCGGTCAAAGAGTGCAAAAAAATTGTTGGTCAAATTTGTCAACCTGCTTTGGATGAGGTAACTATCATCCTGGCCAAAAAATTTGTTGGTCAAACCTATCAACCTGTTTTGGCCGAGATAACTGTTATCTCGGTCAAAGAGTGCAAAAAAAAATTCTTGGTCAAACTTGCCAACCTGCTTTCGCTGCAGTAACTGTCATCCCGATCAAAGAGTGTAAAAAAAAAATTATTAGTCAAACCTGCCAACCTGCTTTGGCCGATGTAACTGTCATCCCGGTCAAAGAGTGTAAAAAATTTGTTGGTCAAACCTGCCAACCTGCTTTGGCCGAGGTAACTGTCATCCCGACCAAAGAATGCAAAAAATTATTGGTCAAATCTACCAATCTTCTTTGGCCGAGGTAACTGTTATCCCGACCAAAAAGTGCAAAAAATTTGTTGGTTAAACATGCCAATCTGCTTTGGCTGAGGTAACTGTCATTCCGACCAAAGAGTGCAAAAAAATTGTTAGTCAAACCTGCAAACCTTCTTTGGCCAAGGTAACTTTCATCCCAGCCAAAAAATTTGTTGGTTAAACCTGCCAACCTGCTTTAGCCGAGATAACTGTCATTCCGGTCAAAGAGTGCAAAAAAATATTGGTCAAACCTGCTAATCAGCTTTTGCCGAGGTAACTATCATCCCGATCAAAGAGTGCAAAAAATTTATTGGTCAAACCTGCCAACCTGCTTTAACCGAGGTAACTATCTTCCCGACCAAAGAGTGCAAAAAAATTATTGGTCAAATCTGCCAACCTTCTTTGGCCGAGGTAACTGTCATCCCGACCAAAGAGTGCAAAAAGTTTGTTAGTCAAACATGTCAACCTGCTTTGGCTGACGTAATTGACATTCCGACCAAAGAGTGCAAAAAAATTGTTAGTCAAACCTGCCAATATTCTTTGGCCGAGGTAACTGTCATCCCGACCAAAAAAAAAAAAATTTATTAGAAAGAGTTGGTCAAGCCTGCCAACCCACTTTGCCCCCAGTTGGGCAAAGACTTTTGCACAATTGATCCTACTTGTCAACCGTGTTAACTCCTACCAAAGGCTTTTTGTCCAGCATCGCTGTTGTGTCAGACTCTGCCTTGGTGCGCGCCCTATCTTCCTCTACCCGGATGTGTTGATGCACTCTATCCATCATGGCTTCCATAGTAAGGGGCGACGTCATTGTCATTGAATCCCTCAACTTATAACCCACTGGTAGACCCTGCTTGTACTGTGCAATAGCTAGGTTTGCGGGGCAATCTCCAATCTGATTAAAAGTCTCCCAATACTGATTATTATAAGACTTTAGTGTTTCTTTCTCACCTATGTCGATGGAGAGCAACTGGTCTATCTCCACCGGTGTCTTGGTGTTTGTCTTAAACCTGGTAACAAACGCCTCTGCAAGTTGCGCCCATGAAGCTATGCTACCTTCTGGCAACCTTTCAAACCATGTCAAGCCCAGATTGCCCAAGCTTGACGGAAACAAGATGCACATTAGAGTTTTGTTCCGCTAATGTTTGGCCATTGTAAGAACCTGAAATTTTTTGGACAACTAATTAGTTTATTAATAATAATATTAAGTCAAGAAATTGTGATTATTAAATTATTATAATAATAGCATCATGAATAACACCAACATTTAAATTCCTTTAAATAAAATTTTTTTTTCCTTTTGTGATTAAATTTTTGTATCTAACACAGTTGTGGAAAACTAAATGAGTTAACTAAATAATAACCAAGTTAGTTAGATGATAGTTGGGAGAAAAACATCTAGTGACTAGGACATATATATATATATATATACAGTGATTTTCATTTTAAACATACAAAAAAAATCAGAATTTTTGGGCAGAGGAATCCGACTGTTTTCTTCCCAAGGGGCTGCTGCCAAAGCATGCTTAGAAACATCCTACAAGTCTATCCTTGTAGATCATAATTCCCAAGCCAAGAAGAATAAAATAAATAAATAAAAAAAAGGGGCCCCAAACTCCTACAAAAGGAACCCACATTCAGCCCAGCCATTCTACTATTCACGCAGCTGAGCAAAGAAGGAGAAAAAGAGAGTAGAAAAGAGAAGAGAAAGAGAGGAAAAAGAGAGGGTACTTGGTGAATACCAATTTCAAACTTAGTTTTGAGAAGTGTTTACAAAAGCTCTTGAAATAAGAATACATCACCTCTATCCTCCCTTAGATACCTCTAACTGAATTTATAGAATTTATATATGCAAGACTAAGCATGGTTAAGTCATATATAGCAAAATAGTACCATGCATGTTTAAAATTTTGGTAGGATGAGGGTTTCATTATGTTATAATTTCATATTCCTTCTTGCAAACATAGATATATGGCTTAGCTACTGTTTTTATGTGTTCAATATTCTCCATTGTTGAAATAATCTTGCAAGAGAGTAAAATGAGATGAGCATGGCTTCCTTTTACCTGAAACTTAGATTCTTCCTTACTGTTTCAGACTTTATCGGATGAAAAGAGGACTCTAATAAATTGAAAATAATTGATGTTAAAAATCTTTGTATATTGGAAGTATATATAGGTGTTATACACTGTGTAAAATTTTTATAAAATCACTGGACACTATTTTCTTACCGAAACAAATATTTTCCCTAAGCGTCGCTTAGGTCCCATTTTCTCTACAAATGGTATTTTTCTGCATGACCACTTGGAATAGTTAGATATAAGAGTTATCTTTCATTTGCCACCGATTTCACAAAAAATGGATAAGTCTAAAAGGATAAGTTGTAGTTTTATTAAAATGCAACAGAATCTGTCCAGTTTTCTTAGAAAAATTATTTGACCATCTTTCGTTGATTTTCAATCTTCGAATCCCTTGAGAAATATGTTCTAAACTCAATTATCTAACAAGCCGTTCTAACCATACCTCCTTTTGACACCGTTTGAGGCCACTTTTTATTTTTCGAACACAGAACACCTGTGCTGGAGGTTAAAGTAACTCACTGTCCAGAAAACCAGTTTTCTTCCAAAAATTATTTCTCCATTTTAAAATCGTTTTTAGCCCTAGTATTCTCTTGAAATATTTTCCTAACTCAATGAACTAGCACTAGTTAAAATATTATAATGATTGAACTTCATTTGGTATGGGTTTTATATTTTTTTTGTCTAATCATACAGTGTTGAAAGAAGAAGTGTGTGAATTCTTAAGAAATCTTGTGAGGATTCCTAAGACATTCTATCACATTTATTTTGGTTTCATATATGATTGTGTTGTGCTATATAAACCTTATGTCACTGTGGTTCTCAAACTAAAACTCACACATGCATAGAAATGTGAATTCAACGAAGTAAAGTAACACGAAATTGAACCGATGATACATATAAAATTTAAAAGTGATGGGGCGAGCCCGGTTTAGAATCTTGCGCAAGTGAGTTGCGAACCCTAACATGGCACAGGAAGGTATTTCGGCTCTTATCAGTACAGGTGATATAAGGTTGGTGGTGCGGGTGTCACAACATAGACCGTTCCCTTCGGGCAAACCGTGATGTCACGACTCGGATACGTAACCCTGGTGCGTGGGCATCATTGGTAGTTACAGTAAGTAACATTTGAATATTTGACCAAGGAGGAGTCAGAATTGCCCGTGGCCATTGCTTAGCGGTTGAGTGGCAATAGTGCTTCGCAGGGAGTTACTTAAACTTACTTGTTAATCTAAATCTATGTGAATTTAAAAAGAAAGGTTGGCATTTTTCCTTATTATGAAATACTGCTTCCGTTTGCCATTGTTTTTGCTGTCTATTGTTAATATTTCAACCAATAGCATTCCGATTATGTTTGTTAAATGCTACTTGTTATTCTGTTATTACACAATATTTATTATTTGTGAGTATTATTATCGGGGTAGGTATTTTCGGGTTGTAGTATCTTATTGAGCTCGTCGCTCATTGGCATTCTCATTGCCCTGGCGTTTTATGCCAAGTATCGAAGAAACCGAAGGAAGCGCCGAGGCCTTGCAAGGCGACATTCAGCCTTGGTTAGCTTGAAGAATGCCCAAGATTCCATGAACCATTTTCCTACTTTTATTTTTTTTTTATTTGTGTTTTATTTTTATTTTATTTTTAATTTTTTTATTCTAAGACTAAGTTTTAAGTTTATTTGGAGTTGTAACTTAAGAACTTTTAATTTACGGGATGTTAGTTAATAGATTTTGGTAAACTTGGTGGCAATATTAAGTAAGAGTTCTTAATTAAGAAAATTAAATTTTAAGTTCTAAATCTTATTATGATGTCCTTAAATTTTGGGGCGTCATAACATGGTATCAGAGCTTAGGTCTAGAAACCCTTGAGACCTTGGGTAAGCTTAAGCATGTGTCATTTACTACACTTAATTAAAAAACATTTGATGACCTAAGACCATACTGAGAGTGTAACACCGTTGTATTCTCCTTGTAGGATGTCAAGCCCATCTCATAACGAGGACTGGCTCTCGGATCCCGAACTTGAAGAAGAACCCTTATTAACCGACCTAGAGGTAGGGGCGGAAACTTCAGAGTCAGTCCATGAGGAAGAGGACCCAGATGAGGATCCGGAAGAGGAGACGATAGATGAAGAGGATGAAGAGGAGCCCGAGCCTGAGGAGGAAGATCCGGAGGAATATCCAAAAGAAGAACTGCTAGACGAAGAAGACGCAGAGGTAGACGCAGAAGTGGAAGTTGTGGAACCCTTGGCCGCCATTCTGCCGGAAAAGTTTGGTTGGGCGGGAAGTGACACTGAGTTCGACCCCATCTCCTCAATTGAATATGCCTTCGAAGAAGGTGAAGCGGACTCGGGGAACGTAGTGCAGATGGGGGCATTCCCTATAGGGCTAGAGGCGTATGTTAAGCTAGAACCACTAATACCTTGCGAGTGGAAACACCAAAGGGGTGACGACAAATATCTGGGGCTTGTGCGAGTTATCCAGGAGTTGGCAAGGGCCATGTATGAAGTAAGACCGTTACCACCATCCCTGGAAGACAATTACACCAATTTCTTCCACCAACGAGACATCTTCCTGGCAGCTCCACTGGCTGGAAAGCTCATACCCACGAACGGGACAGTCGACTTCTCCGACCCACTAAGAAGTCCTTGTAAGGATCTTGGGCCAACATGCGGGAATTGGAGGCTCAAGCTGTTAGTCCGTTGGAAGTGCTATGGGCTGTATGATGAGAGTTGGGAGCATGCCTGGCAAATGCATCAGCACTACTCATGGCTTTTTGTTTGAGGGAAGGAGAGATTGAAGAGGGTAGACTAGGCGGATAAACAATTTTGTTGGAATTTCATTGTAAAAGCCTAGTCTAATAGTGGTTATGAAATGGGGTAAAATAATCCCCTCGGTCTGGTGATAAATGTAATTTTTGGTCATGTAACCGATCCTTTGTTGCAATGAAAAGTTTCAGTTCTAGTTAAACTTAGTGAATGCCTATTCGCATAAAATAAATAATTAAATAAGTACTTACATCGTGCCGATAGTAAACAATTAATATCTTTCTTGCAGAAAATGGCAGGAAGAACTAGGAGAAATGGATTCAATGACAACAACAACGACAACAACACCAACAGTGACGTCATGAATTTCGTTCTGGCAATTACTAATGAACTAAGAAGCCAACCCAGGCGTGAAAACAACAAGGCAGAATTAATAGCGAAATTTCAAAAACTCAAGCCCTAGAAATTTTTTGGAGAACCCAATCCCTACTCGGCAGAGGCATGGATAAGGCAAGTGAAGAAAATATTGGAGACGTTAGAAATTCAAAATGAGCAAGACCAAGTGTCCCTTGCCTCATTTCTCTACGAAGGGGAGGCCGATTTCTGGTGGACAATGATCAAGGAAAGTTGTCAAGTGGCAGAACTATCTTGGAGACAGTTCGAGGAATTGTTTATGGAAAAGTATTTCCTAAACTCGGTGAGGCAAGAGATGATCCAAGAATTTCTCCAACTGAAACAAGGGGGCATGACTGTGACACAGTATGCCAATTGGTTTGAGGCCCTTTCTCGCCATGCCACAGCTATAGTGGCAAATGAAACAGACAAGGTAAGGCGCTTTGAGTGGGGACTCAACTTGGGACTCCGAGACAAGCTGGTCGCAGTGCAGCTACCTACTTATGCATAGGTAGTAGATAGGGCTCTTGCTCTAGAGAGAAAGGAGATGGACACGACAAGGACTCAAGGTCAGCAGTCTAGAGCCAACCAACAAAGAAGTGGAGGACCCTCAAGGAACAATAGGACCCCTGCTGCTTCGATACCTTATGCTAGGAGGCCACAACAACAGCAAGGGTATAATCCTGAACATCGTAGTAAGGAAGGGGCTAGGAGGTGTTATGAATGTGGCCAAGAAGGGCACCTTAGGAACAACTGTCCTCAAAGGTCAGACTACTACATTAATCAAGGAGGGGCCACTCAACGGAACAAATGCGCGCCAACTCACGAAGCGCGAGCTGTGAAAAATTCCCAATCCAGTAGAGGTCAGCCGCCAGCTAATTGGAATATGG